CTGGCCTCGTCCGCGTCCGAATGGCGAGCAAAATGGCGTCGCTCGCGCCGCTGCTTCTCGTGCTTTTCGCTGCGTTTGCCATTTTTGGCGCCATCTTCATCCTCGCCTTCTCGGAATTCTACTGGCTCCCGGCCGTGTCCTACCGGCGCGCCGACCTTGAAAGAGTCGAAGCCGGCGTCGTTGATGCATACTACTACGACCGCGGGTACCTCGCCGACACCGACTCGGATTGTTCCTTGCGACCGTGGGAAAGCCGCGACGAGCGGCTCGCGGCCTTTGAAGATACGTACTGCGCCAAGCAGGGCAAGGCCTACTGCAACGCCTTTCCCCTGCGCAAGACGCTCGTCCAGCCTCTCATTTTCGACAACAAGACTGAGCACGAGCGCATCGCCGCGCTGCTCCAGACATCGTCGTTCCTTGGCGTTGCCATTGATGATCGCACGACGCTCTCCCAGTTTTGCGCGACGGTCGCCGCCAGCGTGCTGACGAGCGAGCCATCTCTGGACGTAGCGTGTGACGGGTGCCGCGCCCTCGTCGCCGCGCCCGAGGACACCTCGAGCTTCGGTAGCTGGGTCCAAGAGCACTGTCCGTTGACGACAGTCGACCCAATGGCGAGCTACTGCATCATGAGTGCCAGCGCCAAGCTGTACCCGTATCTCTTGGCATACCCCGTGGCCAAGCGCTGCCGCCACGAGATTCTGCGCCTCTACAAGGCCAACCGCGCCCGTATTTGCTTTGAGGAAAAGTTTGATGCGCTGCCCAAGCCCTACACGGATGCGATGGCGTACGCCGCAGTCGTCCTCGCAGGACTGGCTTTTGCGCTCTTTTTCTGGGTCTCGGTCGCACAGATGAAGCGCGATGCAATCGATGCCGACGACGAGCTCATGCTGGAGGCCATGATGGATGCGCGGCCGTCTTCGCAATAGCGTCATTTTAGTTTTATAAACCCTAAATGTTACCATGCAACAAATTTGGATACAGAAGTATTGTTCTCGCCACGCCTGAATACCTCTCAATGAGAGGTAACGTTATCCCCCGTGATGAGAGGCTCTCCGTGATGAGAGGCTCTCATCACAGTGGGTTGTGAAATCTTAATGGTAAGCGTCGGGCAGAAGGTCGTCGTAGAGCAGCTCGTAAAGAGTGCTGTCAAGCGTCAACTTGAAACGGTCGTGTAGCTGCAGCAGGCAAGGCTTGATGTTTTATATCCAACGCAGACGAAGGCTTCAGATAAATAGAAAGAAGGTGGTAGCCCAAGTGGTGCTTCCGCTGTGCATATTCTAGAACGTTAATGTGGCGTAGCATTGTAGGCTCTTGCAGTGTCCACTACCGCAGGCGAACGACGAAATATCTTTGGCACGGGGTTTCTGCTTGTAGCTGCGTGCGCGAGGGGCGAGGATCGGCGGAAGGACCAACTCCAGAGGACGTAGCGCAAATTTAAAAGAGCGATGAACTGTTCCGCGACGAGAAAGCTCAAGTATCGTTGGCACCAAGTTTGCCGTTTCCCCTTTTGTCGCCGTGGTCATGGCTATACTGTTGGAGGCGCAAAAATCCAGGGTACAGCTTGCAGCCCAAACGCTCATTCGCCGACGCGAGACGCTGTGCAGCTGCAGCAGGTCGGCAGCGTTGAGTAGTGATCGTTATGGCCACGGCGGTAAGACTTGCGTGCGCCCCACCCAGACTGTATTTTACATCAAGAGTGTCGAATGTAGTGTACTGCTCTATTTTTCTTTACCAAATACTAGCAGTCTTCAAACTGTACACCTTGTTTAGTGTGCTGTGCATCGCAAAACGACTCTGCATCGAGTGTCGATTACAACAAGCGGCGGCCGTGATCGCAGTTGTCGGGAAGAGCCCACGTCGCGGTCTCGACTGTCTTCTTGAGCCCCTCTGGGACTGGAATCGGGCCAAGACCGTCGTTGAGCCGGTCTTCAATGGAGGCGACCGACACCAAGTACTCATCCAGCTTGCCGAGATTTTCCTCGTTGGGGAAGAACCACGCGATGATCTTGTCGGCGCCCTTCGCGTCCGTAGTGAGCACGACCTTCCAGAAGTAGCTCGGCGTCTTGATGCCCCAGCCTTCGACGAACTGCGTACTCGAGTTAGCATCATAGATGACGCCGCCGTACGTCGTGACGGGATTGATGTCACGGTAGCATTCTTGAAGCTTTTCAGTCTGGACCCAAATGCCCTGGTTGAAGGTCGACACTTGCGGTACAACGTTGTTCATGTAGTGCGACTCGCGGGCGATGTTGGCGTCCGTATCCATGTGATTGGACGTGACCAAGTGACCGCGATCGTAGCCGTTCGAGTACGCCTTGGTCGACTTTTGCTGCAAGCAACCTTCCGGCATGTTCGGGTCGAAGTAAAACGACCCCGGACGCTTCGCGTTACCAACATCTTTGCCCATGACATAGAACCAGCGCAGCGCTGTGCGCTCCTTGCAGTC